ATTACTGGGAAAAACGTCAAGTAGGCTGAATCGAAAATTATCACACATTAGTATCAATATGCACATTGATACTTTTCATGTATCTGACTTTTCAGAGTTGATGAATTTTGCAAAAAAAATCATTGCACTGAATTTGGCCAAATACTGCTTTGGAACATTTTGGGTACACAGAAATTATAAGCGTTCATGGTAACCTGTAACCACAGGAGTCATGTGTGATTTAAAAACGTTTGAACAACTTAAATCTCTGTTACTAGCCGCCGAATTTATCAGAAAAAGCAATATTTTAATATGTTGACCTCCCTAAACATTTTTCTTTACGCCCAAAAATAATCAACAACTTGAAAAGCATAGATAGCTAAGCTTGTTTAGTTCGCTTTTTTCGATTCTTACTTATTTCTCCGTCATCTCTAATGAAAACATTTAAAAAGCTATTTTTATCATCGGCATTGTAGTAATGATTTCAAAATTCATTTAAAGACTTGCTCTCAATCGAGTCAGTCATCGACGTACAGAACGTGTTTGATTGACGGTTTCTCATCTTCGGCCCACAGTATCAACGCGGGTATTCCCCAGGGATCGGTCTTGATCCAATCAATCTCCTCACTTGATACAAGGCCGAGGTAAGACCTAGCTTCGAGCACGCTCACATGTTTGGTGTTCTGACGCTCCAACTACATTTTCTGTGCTCGTTGCTGTTCAGAAGAGGGCTGTTCGACTGATCTATGTCACTTCCCTAACGGACAGTCTCGGGACCCTTTCACACCGATGGGCGGTAGGCGATCTTGCTCTCTTCTACTACTATACGAACAAGCTTTGCTCTTCTGGTTTCTGCGTCTCATTCCGACTTTGTCGAACTTAGCACATCGAGAGCTGGTCGGTATGACTGCTCCTTTGTTCCTAGCGTGTCGAGATTGTGGAACAGTCTACCTAAGGAGGTTTTTAGTTATCCTACCGTTAGGCAGTACAAAAATCGGATTAACAAAGTGTATTTTAGTTCCTTGTAGCAATCAAGGTGCCTCGTTATTTAGATTTCTGCTACTGCTTCAGTATAAAAAAATATTTCTAGGCTAAAATCGCACAATTTGTCGCAACACTTGCCAAAAAAAAATGGCACGGCCCGTGGTTGAAGCTCGCGCGCTCGACATCTCCAGTTATATTGGTGCTTGGTGTGCTGAAAATGTGCTGACATGGGATGCGCGTCAAGTCCACTCAGTTGACAAATATTGGCGGCACGGGTATTATGTAAAAAACCTCTAAAACGTCAAAAAAACCTATAAAACGTTATCTTGCAGACTAGATAATTTTTAGAATGCCAACAGTCATTCCACATTTGCTCACTAGGATCGTTGTGAGCGTCCATCTATGGAGGAATGACTCAACTACACGCATTGTTGGTTGCATATGTTTTGGGAAGCCGAGTAGTCTGTAGTTTTCATCTCTGAGAAGAAACTTGAATAGCAACAACGCATCTGGATGGTTATGTGGTTTGGTCTGTATGTGTATAAAATCAGTGATATTTGCTGTGTGAGTAAATGATTACTGAACATGCTGCCGATGAAGTATATCTATTAGCTGTGCCCGACGGATTATTTATATGTTGTCCTTTGTGAAGACAGGTTATGTTCAAAGTTATTAATAACAATTTTTTACGTTTTTTTTTGTGTTTTCAAAAACTTTGAGAATTACGGGAAACCACCACCGCGCTTGCGTTGTGTGTAATTAATGTTAGCATGTATATGAGTATAATTACTTTTTATCTCTCTCATTTTTGGAATCCAGCAAATTTGCATATGTAATTTCCAGAATGGATAAGAAAAAGTGGATGCGCAACTAATTTCTAGCTTTGAATCTCAAGTAGGTGTATTTGAGACAAGAAACCAATGAAGTTACTATCAAAACATATTATTAGCAGACATATCCTCATTATGAACCTATGCATTGCCATTTCCTTCTAGCTATAGTATAAAACTTATAGCTTAGACCTCCAATAATGCCATCTCTGAAGCAGATTTTACATCATATCAGAGCCAAAGATTTATAACTGAAGCCTTATGATGTTAAGGCGACACTTGCAACAAAAAGAAACTTACATAGTGTCAATACAATGTCAAAAAATCGTCATGATGTCACTTTTCAAGATACAGAGGTATATACAGTGTATTTAAAAAAAAAAACGTGATAATATTCTAGGGTGCAAAGGTCCAAAGTTGACACGAAAAATTCTTATAAGCATGATGTTTTAATTAAAAAAATATATATTTTCTAAATGTGTCAACATATTGAAGAAGAACATATAAAAATGTTCGTCCCTGAGACTCCACCAGTGCAGTGGTATAGATTGGGAAATTATGACTCCTATAGAATTAAAAAAATATTTACAAAATTTACATAAATCGCCGCTTGAATTTTTTTTCAGACTGTCCTATTGGAGAAAAATTGATTATATTAGATATTGTTTGTAATGCACTAGGAGAGTAAACATATCTCACTATAGCGTTATTATTTGGCTCATCGGTAGTGTAGAACCCTATTTTGTTATTTTTGAGTTCACTTTCTACTCCAGGTTCTTTCTGAATCATCCTGTATACTATGCTAGAATGTTACGGACGCTGGATGATCTACACGTTTGCTTGAAAGTATGGGGAAGGCCGGGATGAGATTTGAAAATTCTCATTCTCTATCCACGCCCCTGTCTGGCAGAGTTTGCTCTAATTACCGTATCTGTTGGAGCGGTAATTCATCGGTAATTGCCTACGGATGAAATCTTGAGCCTTGCTGCTACTGTTTGCTCTTTACAATGAAATAATATCCCGCTATCCCGCTGCTGCCACTACGGTACGTTGCGTGACATCGCGTTGTCTCATTGTCTCCCGTTTTCACTGTTTGATCAACGCCGATTTCCGGATTGGCTGTATTCGCTTTATGAGTTTCTTATTACGGATTGATACGCGTCGATACACTCGCTAGAATACAGTTCGATAAATAATAATTATACTGGGTAATAGGGAATAGCATTGATTAATGTATTTTACCTGAAAATAGCTAACCTAATACTATAATTCCGCGTCCAAAAAATTATCTGAGATAAAATGAGATACCGTAGCGTCATCCTTGAGAATTTTTCACAGTTATGTTTCTTCTCTCATACGAGGGTCTGTAAATTAAGTGATGAGACTGGCAATGTAGCGTTCGTTCTGGCAACACTGGAGGCTGGGAGACATGGGGTTCGTTCCAACATCATACATTTGCATCGTTCCTTGAACCGTAACTGTTGGCATCCGATAGCTTGCGCATACGTTAATTCTGAGCGTTGGAGCAGCTGTTAAGTTAACCTCAATCTTTGCGGTCTTGACCATAGGTCAGCGTTTGCTGCGTTTTGTTATAATTACTACCCAACTCACCACAAATATCGTTAGTCGTCACCATTCTTGTGATTCAAAAAAGTTCATCAATACAGATGCTCAGACTGTATCACAGAAGACTGAATTTGTGCTGAATTCTGTGACTAGTGATGTGAACAAACGGCGGCGACGCGACAAACAGATCACAGAAGGCCATGAAGTAGAGAAACGTTGAACTTGTGTCAAAAAATGAACGAAATCTCGAAGCTTCTCCTATCATAAGGAAATAAATTATGTGCTACGGACTACCACAGTTACACGACGTAGTTGTTTTTCCCCATAGAATATCAATGACCGCCAAAGGTCCCGCAGTTTTTCTAGAAGGATCAGAATTAACAATGTTTTGTCAACAACACGACACGTAAAAGCCGGTATTCCACAGGGTTCGGTCTTAGGACCAATCCTTTATTCACTTCATATATAGGTCGTCACTTGCCCCAGCAACTCTGAGGTCTCTCTCTATGCTTGAAAACGCAGGCAATCTATTGTACTAAAAAACGTCAAAGATATCAGTGAATGGAACTCGTATACCGTGGGAACAATCTGTCAGGTACCTTATGGTCATCATTGACAAGTGGTTGATCTGGCAGAAACATACTGATATTTTGAAAACATAGTTCCAAATCACCTTTCGGCAGCTTTATCCTTTATTGTACGGAAATTCAAAATTAATTTTGATCAACAGTATCCGGTTGTATAACACGGTCAAAAGACCAGCAATCGCCTACGCATGCGCGACCTGGTATTTTCTTGCCAAAACGCACATGCAGAGACTGCAAGACTTGCAAAATCAAATGAGACCATTAACAGAGATCTTGATGTCCCTTATCGAAGGGACTTTGTAAAACAACAGGCACAGCGGCGTTACAATCAAGCCGAATCGCACAGCAACCCCTGTTGTTGCATGATTCAATAGACTACACAGTCGAGCAAGTTCGCAAACATTCCAGGTCGCGCCTCGCACTGTGATCCAAATTAATTTATGATTTTCAAACCAACCTAAATTATTTCAGTATCCAAAACCGAGCTACAAAATTGTTCGAGCAGTCCAACCAATAATGCTTAAGCTATTTCGAATGATTCACTTCTTTCCTTTGCTCTATTTCTGTTTTCCTTTCTGTCCTTCTTTCCCTTTTCCCCTTAAACATGTTTGGTATTTGGGTAGCCAGACCTGACTAACAGACTGACGAAACTTTCAACTAAGAGCAAAGGTCCACCGGACCGCTCTGATGAACAACGACGAATAGGAGGTCCCGCAGTTATGGCAATAAGACTTTATAACCATTTACATTTCGTAAAGGCTATGACCAACTTACATCTTGTCAAAGCAAATGTTAAGGATATGATGTTAGACAATCTTTCGGTATATTTTAACATTTTTGAATAACATGTGATTTATTTATTTACCAGTGTTTACATTACAATGTATGTTTCGTCGAGCGCGATTCCCTATTGTGTATTTCAGTTTTTTTTTAATTTTTTTTATGTAGTGTTTGTTTTTTGTTTTCTCAATAGTTTATTTCCTACATGACCGTAAAATGTTTTTTTTCTTCAGGAAAGACCAACTCAAAAATTGGGAACGACATTTGGTACCAGTACAAAGAAGGATATAATAATGCTGTTAGGAAACGTATCAAGATATCTTGTTTAAAGTAAAATTGTTTTTTGAACTTAATATTTTTAATTATAATTTTTTCTGTACATATAGATATTTATTAACATTGTATATTGCCCTAAAATGGTAATTGAAAATAAAATCACTGTGACAACTCCTTGTTTCTTTACATTTTCTATTTTAGTCACCTGTTGCTACAAGGAACCAAAATTTGTTATATCCAGGTAATTTGGGATGCTGAAACCTACTATGAATCCTGAAATATTATGCGGCCGAATTGGGCGTGGATAATAGGAAACCTAGAACCTCCTATAGGTATTCGAAATCTGCGTGCCCGATTTACCCTGGAAACCAGCCCTCGGGGTAATACGAGGTCTGTAAATTAAGTATAGAGATTAATTTTTTTATTCAAATTTAATTACCGTTGCTCGAAATGGATGTTACTCATTTTTAGAACACAGTAGAACAGACTGATCCACTGCGGATAACCAAGTGACTTGAGCGAGTTCAAACTTGCACTGAAGGCGGATCACATGTTCCCCTCTTCCCCTTCCAAGTACGGCGCCGCCAGTGTTGCCAGATAGAACGCTACGTTGCCAGTCTCATTACTTAATATATAGCTCTCGTACACGTAACAACTTCTACATATACTTCATTTCCGAAAACTTCGGCCATAAAGGAACTCGCTTACAAATTGCGAAAGCATTTGAAAACATAAATCTCGAAAATATACCTTAGTAACTACTTCTCAGTTCATGCTTAGTCCATTAAAAATTATTACAGTGTAGAATACTGCACATTTTGTACATATAAATATTTACTAACATTGTATATTATCACAAAATGGTAATTGAAAATAAAATATTGATATCACTTTTACAACTATTTTCTCTTTTACTGACCCGTTGCTACAAGCAAATAAAATTTGTTATAACCAGGTAATTTGGGATGCTGAAACATAATATGACTATCAATCCTGAAATGTCATGCGGTCGAATTGGGAGTAGAAAATAAGAAACCTAGAACTTGCTATAGGTTCCAGAACCCATGGTGTTCGAAATCTACGCGCCCTATTTACCCAGAAACCAGTTCTCGGGGTAATACGAGGCCTGTAAATTAAGTAGTAAGATTGGTTTCTTAAATTTGTATCCAAATATAATTAAACAGCGATGCTCGAAATTGACGTCACTCATTTTTAGAACACTAGAAAAAACTGTTCCACGAAAAAACTGCAGCGGACAACCAAATGACTCGAGCGAGTTCAAACTTGCACTGAAGGCGGATCACATGTTGCCCTGTTTCCCCTCCAAGCCCGACCCCGCCAGTGTTGCCAGGTACAACGCTGCGTTGCCGGTCTCATTACTTAATAAACAGCTCTCGTATACATAACAACTTCTACATATACTTCATTTCCCAAAACTTCGGCCATAAAGGAACTCGCTTACAAATTGCGAAAGCATTTGAAAACATAAATCTCGAAAATATACCTTAGCAACTCCTTCTCGGTTCATACTTAGTCCATTAAAAATTAAAACAGCGTATAATCCTGCACGGAGATAGTTACTTTGTACAATTAAAACTAAAAGCATAAATCCTTGGAGTAAGAAACGGATAGTCCTTTGCTCATAATGATGATTGCTCCACAAGTCGTAATTCTCCTGAATTCTTATAAACCTATCCTGAGCATCTGCGCCTTTTAGCTAACTCGAAGAAATTTATTATAGTTTGTTACTTATTGTTAATATGAGTAATAATGCAGTAATTGTTTATGAGAGATCGATCACACGTTTCCTCTTGATCAATTTTTGGTAGATTCAGAATGCAAGAGGTGGTTTAGGCCCGTATCGTCAGTCATCCCTACAATTGTAGGGCGCCTTTATGGCCTCCTTAAATGTCATAGTTTTCTACTTCTCCGTGTCAGCGCTCTATTTTGAGGTTATGTCACAAACATCTATTTGCATCAAATTGCGCTTGCTTTTGAGTTATATCATGTTTTATCAGCCTGAAATTTCCTACAATTTAAAAAGAAAACGTATCTTCACAATAGGAGAGCGCTGACGCTGACACGGGACAAGTGTAATCTAGAAATTTTTGAAGGAGAGAAAGCAGTATGACAATCAAGGAGGCCATAAACGCGCCCTACAATTGTAGGGACGACTGACGATACGGGCCTTAGAGTGTTGAATTCGAATTTGATATGATGAGTAAAAGAATCGTGAAGTGTCTGTCGTGATACCCAATTTGAGAAATAAATGGCGTCAAGTAGATTGACTCTATACTTCCTACGCCTTCGTTTGAGGATTGAAGGAGAAGGGGTGTTTCAAATCGTTTAGAAAGGCGAATTCGAAACGTGATTAAGTAGGTTCACATTTCTTTTCATCCATGTCGGTTTGACAGTCCGTGCCTGTTTTATATCAATGCGTCATGTAGTACTGAGTCAGTCTGCTTAACGAAGTAGTCAGACAATCATCAGGAGTAACACAAATTAAAGGCTAGGCGAAATGGGTGGCAGATTCAAAAATGATGACATTTAGAAAAATATATGTTTATTTATTTATTTATTTATATACAGTTGACACACCTCAGTGAACTAAAACTAAATTTACATAAAATATCGTATACATATACATATATTACATTATTGAATATTTTAATATTCATATTTTTTTTTATCTTCCGATATTGTTGTAACAACATAAACTGAGTGAGTAGTTCTAATTATAAGCAATAAACTATTAATTTAACCTTTTTAATAAAAGGAGTATACATAATTTAACATTTACTTATGTTTAATTAAAACTGAAATCAAAACTAAATTAAAATTATACCAGAAATGATACTGGAGGTGATAACTTGAGTTATGTAAACAAAATAAAACATTTCTATTTTAGTCTGCCATACAGCTGTAATACTCATATTTTAAAGCCTTTTTCAGGAAGGTCAAGCTAATGTTAAATAAATCTATATTACAGAAATGATTATGATTTTTTTGAGCCCTGACCAAAGGGGAATTAAGCCCAATATTAGTTCTACGGAACGGTATTCTAAACAGATGAAAAGTTCTAAACGTTCTATCAGGAGTGTTAAAGTTCAAGTTTGCCAAAAGATCCGGACAGTCAGTGAGGCCATTCAACAATTTATGGACACAGCAAATGTCAGAAATCGTTCTTCTATCTTTTAAGGAAATCATATTGAACTGTTTCTTATTTTGCACATAATGATGATCTGTAACAGGTTGGTGAGTTTTATGTGGTAACATCTTCAAAAATTTGTGTTGAACTCTTTCTATCCTGGCTATATGTACATTGTAAGACGGATTCCATATTACTGATGCAAACATCAATTTGTTGTGTATATAGTCGTAGTACAATGAAAGAAGCGTTTTTGGGTTCGTAAATTCTCTGCATGTCCTGTTTATGAACCATAGTGTTCTATTTGCATCATTTACGGTGTGCTCTACGTGAGAGTTTCTCATCAATGTATACCCCTAGGTCTTTTACTACATGAAGCTTTTCCAGTTCTGCTGTCCCTATCTTATATCTGAAATCTGTAGTGTTCGCTATGTTTCTAGTAAGCCTCATGTAATGACATTTTGTTAAATTCAGGAAGATACTGTTTTCAGTTCAATACTTTTGGACAGATTCCAAATCGCTTTGAAGTTTTACACCGTCGTTTACATTTCTAACAATAGTAAATATCTTTAGATCATCAGCATATAACAAATATTTACTGAAATGAAAAACAGAAGTAAGGTTGTTCATGTATATGTTAAATAACAATGGTCCTAAGTGACTACCTTGTGGTACGCCTGAAGTAACTAAGAATGTCTCCGAACGATACCCATTGATAGTCACCACGTGTTTACGATTACTTATATACGATGCTAGCCACTGCCATAATGGACCATCTACACCCACCTCAGCAAGTCTCTCCATCGAGATAGAATGATCAATCTTGTCGAAAGCCTTACTGAAGTCGGTATAAATAAACCTGCAGTTTCTCATCTATTGCGTGAGAGGCATATTCTATAAAACTCATCAAATTCGACTCTACCGATCTTTTAGGGAAAAATCCAAGCTGGTGTTCCGTAATGATATTTTTTGTGATGTTTAAGATAGCATCATAAATCAGCTTTTCAAAAATTTTTTAGAAAATACAAAGTTTAGTGATAGGTCGATAATTTTCTACAAAATGTCTATCGCTTCCTTTATGAATAGGCAATATTTCACCTTCTTTCCATCTCGTTGGAAAGACTCTTTGAGTTAATGATATTTTGAAAATTAGGTGAAGTGGTAAACATAAGCTGGCGGAACAGTTTTTTATAAATGCAGGAGGTATGCCGTCAGTGCCTACTGATTTTTTAATTTCTAAGGACACTATTTGTTGAGATATTTTTTTCAATGGATATTAAGGTAACATCAATAGGACTAGCATCATTGTTTAAATAAAAATGTTTAGATTTAATACATACACTTGCAAAGAAATCAGCAAAGGCATTACACACCCCACTTCCGGTTTTAACTTCATAGTGTGAATGATTTATAGAACTAGGTATAGAGACATGACATTTTTTCTTACTTGAAACGTATTTCCAAAAGTGTCGGCTGTCGTTCAATATATTGTTTTCCATCATTGTTATGTATTCATCCAGGTTTTCCTTAATTAAGATTTTTGATTTGGCTCTAAGGTCACAGAATCTCTGGTATGAGCATGGATCATTAAAACGTTTGTATAGCCTATGATACTTATTTTGTCTCTTAATTGTTTCAAGTTTAAAGTATATTGGGTATTTTCCTCGAATTGTATATGTTGGTGTAAATTTGTGAATAGTTTCATTGAGTATGTTATAGAATATGGCTACAGCTTCATCTACAGATTTATTACTAAATAATTTTTCCCAAAATAGGGGAAAAGTCATCATTTACAGAAGCGTCGCAGAATGCTAAACTGGTACGTACTCCTAATATCAAAATATTGCAGAAACATATAAATATTTCT